AGAGAGAGAGAGAGAGAGAGAGAGAGAGAGAGAGAGAGAGAGAGAGAGAGAGAGAGAAAGAAAGAAAGAAAGAAAGAAAGAAAGAAAGAAAGAAAGAAAGAAAGAAAGAAAGAAAGAAAGAAAGAAAGAAAGAAAAAGTGGTAGAAAAGGGATAGAACCCAGATTGAATAGATTTACTTAGGGATCTTTCTTCCATGCTAGGTTAATTCCAAGTAAATTAAGAGGCTTCATACTTGGAATAGTTATTGCAGGCGTATGTGGGAGTCTAGAACTAAAGTCAGCCACTGCTACTGATCATCAACAAGACTTTGGTGGAGAATCTCATAGTCATATCTTTCCTATTTCCATCTGACCCAACAAGCCACAGTCCCCCAAATTAAAACCATAATCAAACCTAGCACTCAGAAATTTTGTTTACTGAAAGACAGTGGGTTTATCAAAGACCTGGGTTTTTGTCTTGGATCTGTCATTTATTTCTATGTACTGTATCGTTTTCTCTCTCTGGGTGTTGGTTTCCTCATCTATAAAAATAAAGTGGTTGGACTTGATAATTTCTCAATCAAGAAAGCAAGCTCTTAGTCCTAGCTCTGGCATGGGCTTTCTAGATGATGTTGGACAGGTTACTTAACCTCTGTGAGGTCCAGCTTCCTTCCCTGGAAAACTGAGACAATAATCCAATAATAAAACTTAACTCTCAGGACTGTAACCCTGGGTGCTACAGAGCTGCTTTTGTATTGTAACTTCAGGCTACAGAGGCTTCTATGGCCTCTCAGAAATACTGTGAGGACCATGGGCCAGGATCTAGGATCAAGGAATAAGCAAGATAAAGGAATAAAGAGAATGAGAAAGAAAGCTTGGGTGTCTAGTGCATAGAAAGGACATTGTCAACCTGGAGTGTCCAGAAGAGGAGATTCTAAATTATGTTTCATGGGAATCAGTTGATAGACTAAGGTGTGTTTAGACTAGAGAAGTGAAGACTGAATGAGGATATCAAAGCAAGGAACATTGGTGGTAAAAGTTTTAAAGCCTGGGGAAGTATGGAAGGGTAGTGGGAAAACACTAACTTAGAAACAATTTATCTCTGTCTCTATATCCACATTTTTATTTGATTTAAAAACAATTTCCATACTCACAAGAATTTTGCACAGAAGGCACATTTATTCCCATGTATCTTTCCATCAGGGCCTCGGACAGGTTCATTCTCCCGTGTACAGGGAAGTATTCCATTCTTCACTTGGCTTTCAAAGATTTTGCAAAATTCCTTCAAAAACAGATTTTAAAAGACCTATATGAGTAATATTGCCCTTTTCATTTGAAAGTCTAATTATCATCATTATCATTTCATAGATTAAGACATTGAAGTTCAAAGTGATAGAGTGACTTGGCCAAGGTCACACAGCTATAAAACAGAGGATCTGTCAATTGATCCTAGCTTCTCTAATTCCGTAGAACATCATAGATGATGATGATGATGTCAGTGGTGGTGGTGGTGGTGGTGATGATGATAGCTAACATTTATATAGTGTGTACTATGTGCCAGGAACTTTCTAAGTATATTACAACTATTATGTCATTTGATCCTCACAACAACTCTGGGAAGTAGGTGCTTTTATTATCTCCATTTTACAGATGAGGAAATTGAGGCAAATAGGGTTAAGTGACTTGTACAGGGTCCTAAAGCTAGTAAGTCTGATGCTGGATATGAACTCAGGTCTTCCTGATTCCAGACCCAGCACTCTGTTCACTGCACTCTTTCTACCTAGGTAACAGACGAACAGAAGAGATTTAGTGCAAGTGGTATATGAAAAGGAATGCTCTACGACAGACCCAAAAGACAATCCTACCCAGATTCTGGTTAGAGGTTTCTAGTAATGCAAAACTTACTATCAAACCATGCAATCTATTTCTTTATTTGGACAGCTCTGATTGCAGAAAAGTTCTTCCATTCAAGCTTAAATCTGCTTCCCTATGATTTCTCCCCATTAATCTTTGTTCTCCTTCATATTCCATATAATAACCCTTTGAACACAGTAATCATATAACCCTTAAGCCTTCTCTGCTTCAGACTAAATATCTCATTGCTTAAACCACTCCTTTTCCAACAGTTTCACATACCTGCCCCAACATTGTTGCCCTCCTCTTGATAACAGTCTAGCTTATCAATATCTACTCTAAAACACGACATACAAAATTAAATACACTGGTCTAGCCAGTACATAGGAGAAAAGGTACTATCACTTCACTTGTTCTGGACACCATATTGTTCTCAATGCAACCTAAGAATGCTTTAGCATCTTTAGTTACCACACCATGTTGCTGATTTATGGTAAATTTGCAGTCATTAAGACCCCCAGGTCTTTTTTTTTTTTTTAACATTCGTCTAGCCAGACTTGCCCATAGTATTCTTACACAGTTGAACTTCTTAACTCCAATACGAGACTTTACAATTCTCCATATTAGATTCCCTGGTAGTTGGTTTTCTCTTGGTAGCCATGATCTGAACAGATCATTTTTTTTTTCTTTTTGCATCTGGATTGTCTCCTTCCATTTATTAGCTAACATAGTACTGTAGGATCATAGAATGTAAGAGCTGAAAGAAATTTTAGAGAACTTTTATTCTAACCCATGAACACTACAGAGGAAGAAAGTTCATCTCAGAGAGGCCAGGTCCTTTCCATCTTAGAAGTCTAAGGCTGTTTCTGCTGCTCCATTTTGTAACTCTTAACTTTAGGGTAAGTTATACCTGCAACAATATCTAACTCTCTAATAGAGCTGCACCATCGGTACTACACCTTAAAATCTGAGTGGGGACGAATGTAAACCTGGCTTGAATTGACTTAAGAATGAGCCATCTAGGGGGCAGCTAGGTGGTGCAGTGAATAGAGCTCTGGCCTTAAAGTCAGGAGGACCTGAGTTCAAATCCAGTTTCAGACCCATAACACACAATACTTACTAGCTGTGTAGCACTGGGCAAGTCACTTAACCCCAATTGCCTAGCAAAAAGCAACAAAAAAAAAAAAAAAAAAAGAATGAGACATTTATCTGCTGGAGAGTGATGGCTGTGCTTCCTTCATTGAAGGTTCCTATGCAGAAGGCTATCACCTGAGTATTCAAACACAGCCATAACATTCATGATCATTGCTTCCCATCAGAGAAACAATGATAATCTTGTTTATAAGGCATGATTCATTCTAAAACATTTTGTGGCCAACCCACTGAGAAGCTAATTTTGTGACAGATATTAAGCTGTCAGCAAGACAGTCCATTTGTTATAATTAGGTGTGGATGCCTCATCAAGGTGGTAATAACCAAGAAGTCAAAAAAAAAAAGAAGGAAGCAGAGAAAACATCATAGATTCCATGTCTTTTAGAGCAAGAGGATCCTTTAGAACATAGATCTTAAAACACAGAATATGGACTGTCAGAACTGGAAGGTTGTTAGAATACAAAACACAGAATGTCAGGCCTGAGAACATAGAACATAGAATGCCAGTGCTTAAAACATAAAACATAGAATGTCAGAGAAAAAAGGTCCTTAGAACATAGAACCTAAATTTTTTTTAGACTTTAGAATATAGAATTTCAGATTTAGAGGATCCTTAGAATATAGAATATCAGTCTTTAGAACACAGAATATAGACTGTCATCCCTTAGAACATAAAACATGTACTATTAAACCTTAGCATACTGCATGTCAAAGCTGGGGGATCCTTAGGATATAGAACAAAGATTATAGAATGTCAGCCCTTAGAACACAGAACATAAAATATCAAAACTGAAAGAGACTTTTGAATACAAAATGTTGGAAGAACATAAATTCCCACAACATCTCTGGACTTCAGTTTCCTCTTCAGTATAAAGAGGGGATTTAATTAAATGATCCCTAAGGTTCCTTTCAGGCTTTGATAGTCTATGAATCTATGTTATGTACTTTGTAAGTGAGGTTTCTTACAAATAGAGTGACAGGGATGATTTGGTTGATATATACACATAGTCTCAAATATACTCTTCCTGAATAAAAATGGCAAGATAATAAGGTAAAATGTGGAGCCTGAAAAGGGAAACATATTCAGAACTCAAAATTTAGTTAATAACACTCTGGAAATGGTTTCCAGGTGATTTCATCTATGAAGGAAAAGATGTTACATAGGATAAACAAACATGGGAAGGCAATTGCCTAGGTCATGAAGCAGGCATAGGAAGCATTCTTCATTTGTTGCTAATTCCAAAATAAGCAGAGAGAAACTGTCAACCACAGTGGAAGGAGCATTGGACATGAAGTCAACCTGAGGTGAATCTAGGCTCTGATATTTTTTAGCTATGTGACTATATATGTCAGTTCTGTTCTCTGAATGTTCCTCATTTTAAAGGAGAGCTAAGAGTATCACCTCTACCTCCCTCCCTTACCAGTGTTATGAGCAAAGTGCCTTAGAAACTATAAAATGCCACAAATGGCAGCACTCACCTTTTCAGCATCTCTGCGGGATCTCTTGTCATCTTTCTTTGCTTTGTCTTTAGCTTCTTTCAGGCTGTGTGGAGAAATGAGTGCTCTATGTAGAAACACAATCAAACCCCTTCAGCAAAGAAAAGAAAATGCTGATGACAGACCAGGGATTCTTGATTTTTTTGGAAGTTGGATCAAGTCAATGTATCCCTTCTTCAAATAATTTTTTGTTGTTAACATTTATAATTGAAAGAAATGATAAATTTTAGTAATTTTTTCACATCCATGGGAAGTTCATGGAAATTTAAAAAAAAAAACTATCTGTGGACCTGGGAGTCTGTGTGCCCTAGGTTAAGAACCCAAATCTCAGGCCATACTTGATTGAAACTAGCAAACAGCACCTCAGGCAATATGGGTAAAGTCATAGGTTTCAGTGGTTTCAATGAGTTGGAGAAATCACCTAATGTCAGTCCCTATTTTCATTTATTTTCCCTTCTGAATTTTGTTGGCCCCAAATTAAGTCATTGTATGAACCCACCTACTTGATTGTCACTTAGGAGTCTCTTGTCAAGCAGACTAATAAAATCTTGAAGAAAGACCTTGGACATCAGTGAATCTATGCCGTCCACAACATGTCCAGCAAGTGATCATCCATCTTTTCAATAAATGCTTTATTGCTTAGGAACTCAAGAAGAATACTCATTCCGCTAGGGGGCCGGTCCCAGATGTTAGACTCCATTGAGTCAAATTCTATCTCCTTCACTGCTCTTAGTTATTGTTTGGGGGTCACATAGAACAAATCTAATTCCTCTTTTCTGTGACAGCCCCTCAGACACACCAAGTCAGTAATCATCTTCCTCCTTCTAGATATTCTCATCTTAGTTGCAGAACAGACCATATGAAACTCACTATCTTTTGGGAGAAGATCTTTCATGATCCTTCAAGCACCTCCTCTCCTATTTGCATTACTATACATAATTGCTTCTGTACTCACAAGATTTCTGCACACATGGTACACTTATTGCCATAGGTTTTGCCATCAGGGCCACGGACTGGATCATTTTCTCTTGTGCAGGCAAGCCTCCCTTCTTTATTTGCAAATTGCCGGAAATCACTACATGGGTCCTGAAAATCAGAAGAAAGGAGACTTGACATCAACAGTCCTACTTTGACTTTTCCACCTTCATGATAGCTTAATATCTTAGTATCTTCTTGCATGAAATGTCCAACCCCTCAAGCACCAAATTCTTCAAACTCCAAGGGGTGGAGTGAGCTAGAAAAAAAGTCAAGGTCAAAAAAAAAACCGAGATCTGGAATAAAACCGAAATCTAGAGTAAATCCAAGAACTAAAATAAGTTCAAGAGATAAAACAAAGTCAAACTCAAAAATTAGTCTAAGATCTAGAATAAAACCAAGACTTAAAACAAAAAGCTAGAATAAACCTACAAGCTAGAACAAAGTCAAGTTCAGATCTAAGTGCAAAGCGGGGACTAAAACTAGGATTTAGAATGAAGTCAAGAGCCATAATAAATAAAAGGACTAGGGCAAAGTCAAGCTCAGAAATTAGCCCAAGATCTAGAATAAAACCAGAAATTAAAACAAATCAAAAAATAGAATAAGCCTATGAGCTAGAACAAAGTCAAGTTCAGACCTAAGTACAAGATGTAGACTAAAACTGCTGATTTAGGAGAAGAAAAAAAGAGAGACAATAAACTCAAAAATTAGACCAAATTTATGAGTTAGAATAAACAGCTAATCCAAGAAATGAAACAAACCTAAGGGTTAAATAAATGCAAGAGATAAAACAAAGTCAAAGCTAAGAACAAACTCAAATTCTAGAATAGCCTCTAGTAAAATAGAAGAGCCCTAGACTTCTCTCCTAAGAGATCTGGCTACAGCATGAGTCAGTCTTTCCCCGCTGTTCCTCAGTGCTAGACCTGTTACAGTATAATGGAAATCCTAGGTGAGCCAAATAGCCACTGTCCCAGTCCCAGTCCAGAGGCAGCTGGCCTCAGTTGCCTTTTCGTTCAAATTCTAAATTATTTCCTCTACAATGCCCATCTGAGGAGTAAAATAAAAGAAAAAAAAAATGCTTGTTAGTCTTTGAGAAGGTCAGCCTGCCCTAGCAAGGCTGAATTGCATAATAGACTCACCTGCTAGAGTACTGGGCAGTTTATTTAGGACTTTCCTCACAGCAACCCCTTGAAACGGGCAGTTCAAAAATGATTGTCTTCATTTTGTAGATGAGGAAAATGATATCCAAGGAAAGGAAGAACTTTTTCCAGGGTCATACATACAGTCAGAAAGTAAAGGAGCTGAGACTAGCACTCAGATTTTCTGACTTGCAGAGCAATCAGGCCATGTCTTAGAGTTAGAAGTTTGTTGTTGCTGTCTTGTTTTGTTTTGTTTTGTTTTGTTTTGTTTTGTTTTGTTTTGTTTTGTTTTGTTTTTTTTGTTTTTAAGGGCCAGAAGGAATCTTAAGAGATCATCTAGCACAATTCTATTTATTTTAGAGATGAAGACAATGGGGCTTAGTGGAAATCCAACTCAAATGTAATCTTTCACATGTAAAACTTTCCTCTACTTTATGTGGCCCCTTCCTGGAAAAGCCTTATTAAGCTTATACCTTCAACCTAAGAAAATCCTAGACATCTTACTTACTTAAAGTTGAGGCATGGCACTGTTGGTAGAATTGTGAACTGATCCAACCATTCCGGAGAGCAATCTGGAATTATGCCCAAAGGACTATAAAACTGTGCATACCCTTTGACCCAGCAATACCATAACTAAGTCTGTATCACAAAGAGAGCAAAGGAAAAAGAAAAGAATCTACACATACAAAAATATTTATAGCAATTCTTTTTGTAGTGGCAAAGAATTGGAAACTGAGGGAATGCCATCAATTGGGGAATGGCTGAACAAGTTGTTTTATGTGATTGTGATGGAATATTATTGTGCTATAAGAAACGAGAAGCAGAATGCTTTCAGAAACACCTGGGAAGACTTACATGAATTAATGCAAAAGTGCAATGGGGCAGAACCAGGAGAACATTGTACACAATAACAGCAATATTGTATAATGATCAACTGTGAATGACTTAGCTATTCTCAGCACTACAATGATCCAAGACAGTTCTGAAGGACTTATGATGAAAAATGCTATCCATATTCAGAGACAGAACTGCTGGAATCTGAATGGAGATCAAAGCATTTTTTTAACTTTCTTTTTCTTGGGTTTTTCTTCTGTTTTCTTTTACAACACTGCTAGTATAGAAATATGTTTTGCATGACTACACAGGCATAAAAAATTAAAAACAACAACAAAGAGGCATAGCCCTTGTCATTTAAAGTCCTTTCTTGTTTTTAGAGATCAAGTTATAGGAATCAAAGAATATTATACCTGGAGGCCACATTCCAATGCAGAATGTCAGAGTTGGAATGGACATTAGAATATAGAACACAGAATGTCAAAAGAAGGGAGAAGTCTTAGACTATTGAACACTGAATGTCAGAGATGGAAGTGACCTTAGAAGCCATCTTGTCCAACTCCTTCATTTTTCAGGGTGAAAAAAAAATGAGACAGAGAGAAATAGGGATTTGCCAATTAGAGAGGTAGCCATAGGCTCCTTAAGTCTGGTTTCTATTTCAATAGAATATAAGCTCTTTAAAGTCAAGGACTATTTCACTTTTGTCTTTATACCCCCAGTGCCTGGCACAGTGCTTGGCACATAGTAGGTACTTAATAAATGTTTATCAATTGATTCTGCTTTTCACTTTGATAAAACCTAAAGAAGTCACTTAAACTCTCTGCTTCTGTCTCATCATATAAGACAATGGTAATAGGTGACTCACTTCATAAAAACAATTGTAGGGTAAATGAGATAAAGTCAACCAAGCCACTTTCCCACTATAGACAAGCACAGCAAGATATGTAGAGAACTTTGGTTCTGTGGAAATATCTGGTGAGTAAACTTAAAAATATCCAAATGCTGAGCAGTTGCATTCCACAGCCTTCTGGCCCTCCCAGTACAAAGCAAACTGTTGAAAATAGGAGCTTTCAGTTAACAGAAGCTAGAATTTCCTATTCTTTCCAATTAATTTTCTGGCTATCAGTTTTCCTTGATGTGAGTATTGACCTGGCACTGGAGGGGCACCCAGTACAATCAGTCAGGACCACTCACTAAATCACCCTTCCCACCACTCCACCCCTGCCCACAGAACCTTATGTGGTCCATTGTTCCAAGTTCACATGAATATCGCCCACCTATCACAAGAGTTGATCCAGGCCCACACACTGACACACCCATGCATTGATCCCTGGGGCCATTGACTTTGGTATGTTTAGAGTGGAGAGTGGGTAGAAGTTACTGTGACAACATACATTCCCATGTCAGTGGCAGCACCTGGGCTACAACCCAGTTTGCCTAACTACATGGCCAATGTCTATTCTACTGTCTCAGAGGTCACTAAGCAAGTTTTGGCTTTGATAAGAGATGAAGGAAATACTTTCTTCTCTGCTCTCAGAACATGGACGTACATAGAGTTCATATTGGACTTGCCTACTCATTTTTATCACACCAACCTCCAATTTCTGTATCTTAATGTCTTTTGTTGTTCTAACATTATATGTTCTAAAGTCCCTCCAGGATATGTTCAAAGGTGCTATCCTGTACTATAATTGCTTTCCTTAGAGTACCTATGATTTAATTGTGTAACTTAAAAGAGTTAAGGTACTCTCTTAACTCACACAGATCATCATTTCTCTAGTTGTTGTTAGTAGTAGTAGTAGTAGTAGTAGTAGTAGTAGTAGTAGAAGTAGAAGTAAAAGTAGTAGTAGTAATAGAACTAGTAGTTGTTGTTACTGTAGCAGCAGCAGCAGCAGTAGCTAGCAATTACATAATGCATCAAGATTTTCAAAGTACTATATAAATATTATCTCATTTCATCCTCCCAACAACACTGAAATATAAGGGCTATTATTGTTCCTATTTTACGTATGAGGAAAAGGAGGAAAACCAAGGTCAAGTGATATGTTTAAGGTCATAAATATCTGAGGCTGTATTTGAATCAAGGATTTTCCTGAATCCAGGCCAGGCACTCTATCTATTGTGGATGGTTTAATTGATTTATATGGCCAAAAAAGTTAATAAACCAGTTACCGGTCTCCTCTGTAAGATCCTTTCTACCCTAAGCTAAGAATGGGCTTAAATGACCAAAGAAGCCTTTGGCAACTCTATTCTCATAGATTTGTTGTGTTTTTTTTTTTTCTCATTGTTAGTGTTGTTTGTTTTGAGGAGGAACTTGTGCTCCATGAATATAATCTTAGAGAGGTCTGGTTGCCTCAACATTTTGACACACTGGGGAAATATACTAACTTATAGGTGATTCTATTCAATTACTTAAAATACAGTCTCCTCTGGCCTCCTTGTCTCACATTAATTCAAAACATCTCCTAGTTGAAAATGTACTTTTATCTTCTCCAGCAAGAGAACTGTCTTTAAAGTGTTGTTATTGTATAAATTGTTCTCCTGGTCCTGCTCACTTCTCTCTGTACCAATTCTTATAAGTTTTGGCAGGATCCTCTGAAGCCATCCCATTCATCTTTTCTTACATTATAATCATATTCCACAACTTTCCTAAAGCATAGGTCTGATCTTGTCAGCCCACCTACTCAATAAACTCCAGTGGCTTCCTATTGCCTTCAGAATCAAATACAGCCCTTTATTACCTAGCCTCCTTTTTAGCTTGCCAGCCTTCTTACTCCCAAACACACTCTTTGATCCAGTGATGCTGACTTCTTGACTATTTCATGAACAACACACCCCATCTCTGTGCTCTGGTTATTCTCTCTGGCTATCCTCCATGCCTGGAATGCTCTGTCTCCTCTGCTCCCACTGCTGACCTCCCCTGCTTCCTTTCAGTCCCAACTATAATCTTACCTACTACAGGAAGTCTTTCCCAAACCCTCTTAATTTCAATGTCTTTTTTCTGTTAATTATTTCCTACTCATCCTGTTAATAGCTTGCTTTGTTTTTATTTGTTTTCATGTTGTCTCCTTCATTAGATTGTAAGCTCCTTGAGGACAGGGACTGTCTTTTACTTCTTTTTGTATTTTGAGCACTTAG